GTGGGGGGGGGGGGGGGGGGAGAGGGCTGGGGGGTGACAGGTAGGGACAACCCATGAGGGAAGAGAGAGGGGATGCAGCAAAAATGGGTGAAAAAGTTCTACTTAGAGGGCCAGAACGTTGCGCGAGTTCCCACCTGATGGCCTCTGCTCGCTTTGTCAAGTAAGAGGAGAATCATTTGCTGAAACTCGGGTGGGGTTAGGGAAAGGGGAGAGGCAGTGGTGAATGTTCAGGAATTCTGTGAGTGGGTAGTTAAACAGCCACTAAAATAGAAGCCCCATGAGAGCACTGACCTCGTGCCACTGGGTAGAGGGCTCGCATGAAGAGGGGGTCCCGAAGGAGAGGAGGAAACCCAGAGGCAGCGCAGGAGGCCTGCAGGATGGCCCGACCTCAGTGAGCAACTCTGGAAGCACCAGCCCTCCCCCAGAGGTCCGCAGGCTGGTGCAGAGCAGCAAAGAGGGGTGGCTGGATGGAGCTGAACCTGGGAGTCTGCAGGATGCGTGTGGCGAGAGGAGAGAATGAAGGCAAGAGAGCAAAGGAAGTGCGGGTTTGACCAGCAAGGGGCAGAGGGAATGAGCTCTGGAGTCTGGCTTGGACAGGGAAGAAAAGAGGCCAACAAGCAGAGCAATTGGGAGATGGAGGGGCTAAAGGACTGGAGCCTTGATGCGATGATGGAGAGACAGGAACAGGTGGTATGGGCGGAGCAGCGACAATATGCGGGCGTGGCCATGGATGGGACCCTGAAGCAGGGGGGTATGGGATACCGCACTGGTCTCTGCAGGTGCAGAGCTCCTGGGACTGCGAGGCCTCAGTGTGGGTTGGGTTGTCCAAGGGGACATTTAATTGCCCAGAAGTCGGCAGGTCTTGAGTTAAGAATGGGGCTGCTAAGTCATTTTGCTGGTGATGAATGCCACCGTGAGAGGTTGAGTGACTGGTTCGAGGTCACACAGTCAGCAAATGACTGGACCCCAAGCACCGGCCTTCTCCTGACCCCCCTCAGCAGGCTGGCCTTTGGGAGCTCTGCCGGAGCGCCCCCCTGAGATTCTCTGGTCCCAACTCCGTCTGGACCCCAGCTCTTCCCCTCGGGGGCCAGGACCACCAGCAGGGACAAAACTTCCTTCCACTCTGAGCATCTTTTGTGGCGAACAATTTGTGTCTTACATTCTCCACTCCACTGTTTCCCCCCATGGAACCCACAAAAGCTTCTTCATAAGACAATGGGCTTCTTGTTGCCTTTTGGGGGGGGTGTGTGTGTTATAATGGAGCTTTGGTTACTTTTTTAAAGGGACGCTTTTCGAGATCTACACTAAAATATTTACAGATGAAATGCTATGATGTCTTGGATTTATTTCAAAATAACCCAGGCCTGGGAGCGGAGGAGGCATGGGCGGGAGTATAGAGCAAACAAGATTAGTAATTGTTGAAATTGGGTGATGGGAACATGGGAGTTCACCGCACTCTTCTCTCTACTTTTGTGTGTGTGTGTGTGTGTGTGTGTGTATATATATATATGGTTTGAAATTTTCCATAAGAAAAGCCAGTTGTCTGATAGGTTTTTAGCAAAACACAGAAGCCACAGTGGGCGGCATGCATTGGTGTGAAATGTTCCGGATGAGAGAGGGGTGGTCTGAGACCCCACCTAAAGGGCTGTGCTCTATCTGGGCCGCACGCCCTAGGGAGGCCTAGCCGTGCCAGGATGCAGGGACCCACATTTGGATTCATTTATCTCAGCTGGAGGAATGGGGCTGCTCAGCCTGGAGAGGAAAGACTTGGAGGGGCGGGAGGAGCTGTTCCCCCCGCAGCAAGGGCTGTTGGGGAAGAGGTGGCTGACTCAGCGTGGGTCTGTGTCCACACCCACCCTGTGCAGGTCCACCCAGGGCCCTTTGGCCAAATCTGCCCCCCGAGCCTCGCCTGCCCTCTCCCAGGTCCTCCCCTCCTCTCCCCCTCCCCTCCCCCAGCTCAGGCCAAGAGGAAGCACTGTGACCCTGGGGGCCCGTGGGGCCCTGCCAGCCCTGTAAGTCACGAACAGCACGGACATGCTCCTCCCATTGGCCTAAACCCACTGTTCTGTACGTGTCTGTGATGAGATCTCACTTGGCTCCAAATCCGTCCGGGGAGAAGGCTGGCCCGAGCTGCTCTCCACGGCGCACAGCGCTAATCTCTCACATCTGGACAGAGCTTCGTCCGGGCTCCACCGCTCAACTGCCCATGAGCTCAGCCAGGCCTCCCGACCAGTTCATTGGAGCGGGGTCCCTCGGCACTGAGCTCAACGCATGACGGCAGAAAACACCCCGGACCCCGCATTCTTGGCCGAGCTCGGCCATGCGCTGCTGTGGGCCTGTGGGAAACTTCCCTCCTCCCTGAGCCTCTGCAGCTGCCCCTGCAACACGGGTGGGGTGGCCCCTCGAGGCACTGCCGCCCAGATACAGCTCATCCTTGCCCTGGTGGGTCTTCCAGAGCCTGCCCAGAGGAGTCAAGGCCAAGTGGCTTCCTGGACCAGACGCTCCAGCAAGGCAAGACCTGGGTGCCTTCTTTTTTTTTTTTTTTAGCTTGTACATACACACACACACACACACACACACACACACACACACACACCTCGGAGCCTCGGGTACCTCATCAGTAGAGGGGGCTCACCATCAGGCCTGCTTCACGGGGCTTCCAGAAAGGGAAGGCGTGGGGGAGGCAGAAGGATTGCCATGATGGACCCTGAGGAGCCAAGGCTGGGGTTCCGTCTTCCCTTCCTTCCTCTGCCCGCCCGCCCTGCGCGGCCAGTTGGGAAACGGACCTTCTTGGACGCCGGGTTGTTTCCCCTGGCCTGGCTCCTGCTCGGGCCTCTGTGCGCCCTGGACGGTGGCCAGGGGTGGAATGTCGCGCGCTGGTGAGAACACGCTGCAGTAGAGGCCAGAAGCCCAGGCGGAGGCGCAGGGCTAACTGCTCCGTTAAGGGGGCCTGACCACTGGGTCCCCCTCGGGGCGGGAAGTGTGGCCCCTCCACTTGCAAACAGAGGAGACCTTTGTTATCTGGGTCCCAAACGCTAAGGAAGTGCCCAGGACACAAATGATTTCTGCCGTGCCAGGGGGTGACACTGGCAGGTGCTGGGGAGCCTCCTGAGTCATCAGAGACACTCTGCTTGACCAGCAGCTCTCGTCACTGCGGGTTAATTCTATTTGACCACATTAAATATAATAGAATAATACATCTTGTCGCATTTGATATTTGTATTAAAATGTGTGATTCATTTAAAGCCATCAGTGGTTTTTGATTTTTAAAAGCCAGAAGAACATTATTTCCAAATAGTTATGTGAAGAACTCCAATCTGTGGAACTGCTCTGGCTGAAACAGGAGAGGGACCCAAAGGTCCCCGGAGAGAGCGAGGTCAGATTCTCAGGAACATTCTTGTTTAGTTTAGTTTTGTTTTGATTTGGGCGAGACATGCCCTGCTCCCTTGGTCTCTGGTCACTTTCCAGATGTGGGTGGAGCCTTGCCAACCACTCTGAGAACTTAGCAATGCCATTCCAATACCTTCACTACCTGGTTAAGTTAGTATTTTGCTGAGGATTCAAGCTAGGCTGCTGTAACAAAGAGCCCCCTCATTTATACACGAGTTAATGTCTTTCTCATGTATCAGTTCAGAGGTAGACTGACTTATGGTCAAGGCTGGCAGGCGGCTCTGCTCCCTGAGGCCATACAGAAACCAAGATTTCTTCTACCTGGGAATACTGCGCTTCTTAATCCACCTGGTTATAATGTGCTAGAACATTCCCAAACCCCTGTAATGTGGAGAAGGTCTAAGAAGCTGTCCTAGATATCTAATCTCTCTCTGCATGCTGTGGAAAGCATGCAAGGCTGGGGGTTGGAGACGCAGTGCCCCTCCCCTGCTCACTGACCGTGCCCTGCCTCTCACTGGCTTCCTTGTCTGCAAGGGAACGGCCCTGCTCTTCCACTTTGTAGGATTACTATGTGGGTCACAAAGGATCCTGCACTTGAAGATGCCTCAGAACTGCCAAGTGATGTACAGATGCCACGCAGGGCATTGCCCAGGTGAGCTGAAGAGTGAGCAGGTCGGTGAGAGCCCCCATGGCTGCCCCTCTACATGGGTCAGTGCTCTTGGTTAGATCACTCCAGCCAGCTCTCCTCATGGTGGGGCGGCATCTGCCCTAGACCTAAACCCAAGCAGGGGCCCAGAGGATGTTTGGGAGGGGCTTCTCCAACAAGCACCGAAGGGGTCAGGGCTGACCCAGCTCTCTGGGCTCCTTTAAGCCAATCCCATTGTTGGATCTTTGGTTTCTTCACCTTTAGAATGGACATAAGCATACTCTCTATTCAAAGCTACTCTTTTTTTTTTTTTTTTTTTTTTTTTTTTTTT